CCATCTCCCCTCCCATCTCTCCTCCCATCCCCCAACCCCCTTGCCCCCACAACCCATTCTCCTCCTTCACTCCTCATTTTCTTTGTTTCACTCAAAAAGCAAAACAAAAAAGGTCTTTTCCCTCCTGATTAGAACAGTTATAAGATCTATTATAGAAATTTGGAAAACTCAGAAAAAAAATCTCCATAATCCCGTGCTTAGGCATTACCATGAACATTTTCATGTTATTCTGTCTAGTTCTATGCATGTACTATGCACTATTTTAACAACTAGGTTCATCTTTTTTCCTTCACATAACAGTATATCTTGAATGTCTTCCTATATCAGTAAAAATTCTTTTGAACCATCTTTTTTCATGGCTGAATAATATTTCCTCCAACAAAAGTGCCACACTTTAATCCTTCCCTAATGTTTGGAATTGACAACTGTTATAAATTTTGGCATTTAGAATAATACTGTAGAGGACTTCTTTGTTCATGAATGTTTGTCAGCTTCTAATTGTTTCCTTAAGACAGATTCCTAGAAATGGATTTTGGGGCCAAGGGATATGAGCATTTTTAAGGCTCTTGGAGTTTGTCTAATTGCTTTCAAAACAGATAGGGACTGAGGCTTCACTTGAACTCCACTTGTTCTGCCCATGAAGAATGAGTGCTTTTGGTCTTGACCTGTGGTGGATGGACTAGCGTCAACAGAGTTGGCACCCCAAAGAGATCAGAGGTCCTCAGGACTGAGCTCGTGAAAGCCCAGGCAGTGGCTCAGGACATCCCCCTTGAAGAGAGTCTGCAGTGCTGTTCTCATGGGTGGGTGGGTAGGTGGGGGGAGAGGGGGCATAAGAAATGCTTTGTGGATGAAGGGAGGCTCCTGGTTCACCTGTGTGGACACGTGAGCAGAACTGGCTGCACACACAGAGGTGGATGGGCACTGGGCAGGCACATTTTGGAGCAAGGGCCCCCTCATGTGGCTGCTGGGTGAAAGGAGAAAGAAACACATGGGCACTTGGCACTATGCCACGCAGGTGGGCTCATCTGAGACAGGCCCACGGCTCTGTCCTCCCCAGGACTGTTGTTCTGACCAACCAAGCATGAAAGGCAGCTGCGGACTGGGGCACACCCAAACCTGACTGATTTGACAATCTTGCCATGTTTCAGGTTGGAGGGAAGATGGATGAGAACCGTTTTGTGGCGGTTACCAGCTCCAACGCAGCTAAGCTTCTCAACCTGTATCCCCGCAAGGGCCGCATCATCCCCGGAGCAGATGCTGACGTGGTGGTGTGGGACCCAGAAGCCACAAAGTACAATTTGCTGCTGATCTCCAGGGCTGGAGGGACTCAGGGCTTTGAAGAACTTGTATCACAGAACTACAAAAGCGTGTGATTTTGCACAGAAACGTGTGCCCCGGCTTGAGATGCAGTCTTTCCTCTATGCATGCATATCTGGTGTCTCCATCTCCTCTTCTTAGGAGGGCACCAGTCAGACTGGATCAGGGCCCTCCCATATGAGCTCATGTTATGTGAGCTTATCTTATCTGATCAGGCCTTATCCCCATATGGTCACATTCTGAGGTTCTGGGGCCTAGGGCGTCAAGACAACAAGGTTGAGGGGACATTGGTAGCACGTGCCTGTAGTTCCGGCTACATGGAAGGCTGAGGCTGGAGGATCGCCAGACCACAGCAGGTCGAGGCTGCGGTGGCCATGAGCGTGCCACTGCCCTCCAGCCTGGGCGACGGAGTGAGACTCCAGCTCAAAAAAGAAAAATGTTGAGGGCACCCAATTCAGCCCATAACAACCAGCCTTTGGGGAGTGTCCCTCCCCCGGGGGGTGATAGTGCTCCCTCTCCTCAGCACTCTCTCTCCCACCATTGCCCCACCAGGACCATCTCAGCCAGCACCCAAGTGCAGGGTGGAGACTTCAACCTGTACGAGAACATGCGTTGTCATGGCGTGCCACTGGTCACCATCAGCCGGGGACGCGTCGTGTACGAGAATGGCGTCTTCATGTGTGCAGAGGGCACCGGCAAGTTCTGTCCCCTGAGGTCCTTCCCAGACACTGTTTACAAGAAGCTGGTCCAGAGAGAAAAGGTGAGGTGGGCGGGGGAGAGGTGCGGGGAGAGGGCGGCAACCCTGCTGGGGTCATCTGCCGTGATGGCTTTGACCCGCAGAGAGGCTCTGTTTTTCTACCCAATTCTATCACCGTCCATCCCGTGCTGAGAGAGAGTGGCGGGGCAGTGGAAGTGCTGGAATCAGGACACGCTGGTTTCTGTCTCAGGCTCTGATTGCCAGGCAAATAATCAGGCAGACAGCGAGTCCTGAGGTCCTGAAGGCACAGGAGGGTGATGTGAGTGTGTGGGTGACCACTGAGCTCCTCTGGGTATGCAGGCTCCAGGGCCCTGGAGTCATGGCCATGTTTGATGACTCTTGATGAGTGCTGGGAGTATAGCCGGCATCTGACGAGCCATCACTAAAGCAGGGGTCCCCAACCCCCATCAGGAACTGGTCCGCATAGCAGGAGATGAGCAGCAAGCGAGTGAGCAAAGCTTCAACTGTATTTACAGCCACTCCCCATCGCTTGCATGACCACCTGAGCTCCACCTCCTGTCAGATCAACTGCAGATTCTCACAGGAACGCAAATCCTTTTGTGAACTGCACACGCGAGGAATCTAGGTTGTGCGCTCCTCCTGCGACTCTGATGCCCGATGATCCAAGGGGGAGCTGAGGTGGTGATGCTGGCACTGGGGCACAGCTGCAAATACAGTCTGACACAAGCAGCGAGATCTGACTGCACAGAGACCATCGTAAATCAGTTGCTTGCAGACTCATCTCAAAACCCTCTCAGTGGGTGGCAAGGGAATGGATGTGCGTCAATTGCACAGCTGCAGCTGGTGGCAGGCTTTAAATCAGAACCCGACACTTATTTCAGTCTGCACGTGGCCTGCCCACTGTTTTATTTACCACTTCTGTCAGTGCTGTTATTTTTAAGGTTAGTTGTGTAATTATTTCATTATATATTACAACATAATAATAGAAATAAAGTGTACAGTCAGTGTTATGTGCCTGAATCATCATTACCCTGCCACTGGTTAGTGGAAAGATTGTCTTCCATGAAACCGGTCCCTGATGCCAGAAAAGTTGGGGACCACTGGTCTCAAGCGTAGAAGTAAGCGGGCATATGATTAACACAAAAGACACTCTGGGCTGGGTGAGTTGGTTCATGCCTGTAATCCCAGCACCTTGGGAGGCCAGGGTGGGAGGTTCACTTGAGGCCAGGCATTTGAGACCAGTTTGGACAGCATAGCAAGACCTTATCTTTATAAAAAATTTGAAAATTAACCTGGCACAGTGGCATGTGCCTGTAGTCCAAACCACTCAGGTGGCCGATGTAAGAGGATTGTTTGAGGCCAGGAGTTCGAGGCAACAGTGAGCTGTGATTGTACCACTGCAGTCCAGCCTGGGTGACAGAACGAGACCCTGGTTGAGAAAGAGAGAGAGAGAGAAAGATCTACTGTGCTAGCATGCTCTCCACCCGTGAGGACCCACACCTTTTAGAGGAAACAAAGGACCCTTCTCTCCCAGAGGCCAAAGAGTGAGGAACTCCAGAAGCAGGCCTGCAATGAGGGAGTCAACTTGGATTGCCTGACGAAAGCACAACTGTCGTCATCATGGTGTTAAGCCCCAAAGCAAGCTCAGGTTGTCTTGCTTAGTTAGAGCAGCCCCGCCCCCAGCGACTTCCCAGACGTGCACAGTGCACAGGAGCCTCAGCCCGCCACTAGAGAACATGCTGGAAGAGCTGGAAGAGCAGGGCATTCACAGCAAGAGCATCTGACGAAGCATGGCTCTAATCAAGGCGTCAGGAGGAACCAGTGTAGGCAAGGACGTGGGGAAATCAGAACACTCACGCACTGCTGGAAGGAGTATCACATGGTGCAGCCCCTTTGCGAAACTGTTGGTCAGTTTCCCAAATAGTTAAACGCAGAGTCACCAGATGACCCAGCAATTCACTCTCAGGTGTGTACCCAAGAGAAATGAAACCATGTATCTACACAGAAACTTGCCTGTTCATAGCAGCGTGATTCGAAAAGGCTGTACAATAAAGTGGAAAAAACCCAAATGGTTCATAGCAGGGTGATTCGAAAAGACTGTACAATAAAGTGGAAAAAACCCAAATGGATAAACAGGTCATGGTGTATCCATGCCATGAAATATTATTTGACCACAAAGAGAAAGGACATACGGATCAATGCTCCATGCAACTTGGGTGAACCTTGAAAGCCGATGCTGAATGAAGGGTGCCACCTACAAAAAGCCACATATCTTCGTATGACTCCATTTATGCGGCATGTCCAGAAGAGGCAAACACGTAAACAGAAAGTAGAAAGTGGCTGCTCAGGGCTGTGGAGAGGAGAAAATGGGAAGTGACTGCTGTTGAGTATGAAGTTTCTTTTGGGGGTGATAACTTTTTTTTTAGTAGGAATCTCACTCCGTCGCCTGGGCTGGAGTGCAGGGGCACGCTCACAGCCACCACAGCCTCCACCTGCTGGGCTCAGGCGAATCTCCCCCTCAGCCTTCCAAGTAGCTAGAAATACAGGCATGTACCACCATGCCTGGATAATTTTTTGATATATTGTAGAGATGAGTGCTCGCCAAGTTGCCCAGGCTGGTCTCGAACCCCTGGGCTCAGGCAATTCGCTTACCTCGGCCCCCCAAAGTGCTGGAATTATAGGCATGAGCCACTGTGTTTGCCTGATAAAAATGTTTTGGAATCAGCCAGCGGTCTTGGTGGCATACACTTATAGTCCCATCTACTTGGGAGGCTGAGGCAGAAAGATCGCCTAAGCCCAGGAGGTGGAGGCTGCGGAGAGCCATGATTGTGTCACTGCACTCCAGCCTGGGCCACAGAGTGAGACACCAGCACACACACACACACACACACGCATAAACACGTGGAATTAGCCAGGGTAATGGTGACACAACCTTGTGAATACACTAAAAACCACTGAACTTCAAAATGGTGGATTATATGGCCGTATTTCAGTTTTAAAGAAAGAATATCTGACAATAGTCTGTGGCCGTCCCCAAAAGAGACTTTAGTCAGGAAGCCTGCGGTGATTTGTGTCCTGGGGCGGGGGGCAGCACAGACGTTCTGCGGAAGGCCAGGAGGCTGCAGGTGCCGTGGCCACACAGGGCTCTGACTGGTTGCCCTTCCCCTCTGCTCCTCCGTCCCCTGCTAGACCTTAAAGGTGAGGGGCGTGGACCGCACCCCCTACCTCGGGGACGTTGCTGTGGTTGTGCATCCTGGGAAGAAGGAGACAGGCACGCCGCTTGCAGACACCCCCACCCGGCCCGTCACCCGACACGGCGGCATGCGGGACCCTCACGAGTCCAGCTTCAGCCTCTCCGGTAAGGGCCAGGGTGTGGCGGGAAGGGCGGTGGGTCTTGGGCCTGCTCTTCCTCTGTGGCCGCTCCTGCCTCCCCGAGCCCGTGGCTGGGATGAGTGCTGGCTCTGGCATCAGAGACACACAGAGGCTGGGGAGACAGCCAGACTCCCCTGGTCCCTGGCTCCAGCCACTCACAGGCTGCGGCCCACCCGCGGCTCTCCCCAGGGCTACCAAGTTCAGATATTCTGGTCCCTTGAAACATCTTGAGAGCCGTGCATACAGAGGCTCCCCAGAGACAACCTGTGCTCAGAGGGGTCAGCCCCATCTCATTCATGCCATCCCCGCCACCTGCCCACTCCTCCCAGCCTGGCTGCAGGGTATCACGCTGCAGATTGCCCATTCCCTTGTTTCCTTTCCTCCTCTGACCATCCCATACTCGTCCCCACTTTTACCACATTCTCACCTCTTTTTTAACCAGAAATTGTGCTATATATACTTCATTACCTGTAAGTAAAATATTTTCTCTCTGATTCCCGGTTTCTTTTCCCATCTTTCTGTCCTCTGGGCCACGTCCTCGCCCCATCTGTCTGTGGAACCTGAGTTCCTTAGAAGCATCTCGTTCCAGTTCTTTTTTTTTTTTTGGAGTCTTACTCTGTCACCCAGGCTGGAAGGCTCTGGTGATCCGTCCGCCTCAGCCTTCCAAGTAGCTGGATCTACAGGCGGGTGCTACCACACCCAACTAATTTTTTTAAAATCTATTGCAGAGACAAGGTCTTGCCAAGTTGCCTGAGCTGGTCTCAAATCTGCAGGCTCAGGCACTCCACTGGCCTTGGCCTCCCAAAGCACTGGGATGACAGACAACCACCAAGCACGGCCCGGTCCCAGTTCTTAACGCCAAGACCTGCTGTTTGCCACCTCCCCCCAACACCAGCATGCTGAGCCATGGGCTTCTCTGGGCCGTGACTTTCTGTGCACAGGGACCTCACTGTTGTCAACACATTGTGGGTTTGGGGGGTGGGGCTGTTCTGCCCACCTGTGGTTGGCCGCCTCCGTGGAGAACGAGCAGAGGCCATGGGCTGCCCTGAACCGTCGGGCAGCTCTGGGGTAGCAGTCACCACCACGCAGCAGGGGCAGGGCCTGGGTTGCCCTTGACACCGCTAAGCTGCCTTGGGGACCAGTCCAGAGGGAGGCCAAGCGTCCACTCTGTAGGGCTGGGCAGGCACAGCAAGAGGAGAAAGACCCAGGCCTCCAGCCAAAACATGGGGTTCACTGGGGAGATGAGATCCATGCAAAAACTTCCTGCCGCGGAGGGCAAGGAGAGAGCCTGTGAGGCTCCCTCGTGCCCGACTTGGGGCCAGGTGCAGCCTGCAAGGGTCCCAAGGGAGGCACCAGGAGCCTGCAGGAAACGGTCCTCTCAGGGCCAGTCTCGTGGCTGAGGCAGTGGCTCCCCACTTCAAAGACCACTGCGCTCTCAACGCCATGGGGCGTAAAGCGGGGAGATGGAAGGGACTGGTGTGAGGACCTGTTCCTGCGTGTCGTGCCTTTGTGGCCAGGAGGTGTGCCGTCCCTCCCTGCACAGCCAGCCCCACAAGAAGAGGCGAGGCCCCAGAGCCGGGTGCCCCCACCGGCCAGCGGCCTCTCCTCCTCCACCCAAGCCAAGACTGGGGGGAACCCCTGCCCCGGATCGTGTCCACCCTCGGTGGCACAGGCTGAAGAATGTCCCAATGTGCTCTCGGGGGCCCTCCCTTTCCAAGGCAGTCTTGGGATGTCAAGATGCAAGGCCTTTGGGCAGGGTCCTTATTTTCTGAAGCGAGGGCACACCCTGCCTTTTTTCTCTCATGCTCACTTACCAAGACACAAGCTCATGTGCTAACGGCCGGCCCTTGGCCTGCATGCTCGAGAGCCTGTACGAGGCTGTGTGCCCAGGCCTGGAGCAGTAACGTTGGCTCGGAGGGGCAGATAACAACGCAGGCTTGAACCAGGAAACCTGGCTCAAATCCAGGCTGCACCACCACTTGTACACCGTGTAACGTGGGGCAAGTAGCTTCACTTCCAGGAGCCTCTGTCTCTTCAGTGGTAAAATGGGACAGAGTTGCTGTGAACATTAAACTAGATAGTGCACACAAGCAGGCGTGACTCACGGAGAGCCCCAGCCAGGGCAGGAGAGCCCACTCACCTGCGCCTCCCTCCCTGCAGGCTCCTGGGAGAGCCCACTCGCCGGGCCGCCCTCCCCGCAGACTCTCAGGAGTGCCCGCTCACCTGTGCTTCCTTCCCTGCAGGCTCTCAGATCGACGACCATGTTCCAAAGCGAGCTTCTGCACGAATCCTCGCTCCCCCTGGAGGCAGGTCGAGCGGCATCTGGTAAAGGCACCGCCCAGCCCCCACGCGAGGACGCACCGCCGCCTCGGCCCGCCAGCCTCCGCCACAGCTGCAGGGGTGGAGAGGCTGGGCTGGGCGGCACCCCACCCGGGGCCTGGACCCGGGAGCCCTCCCTGTGTCTGAAATGTGATTCACTGTGCTTCGAGCCAAGCCTGACAGGCACTTTGAGATGCATTCCTCCCACTCGGTCCTCTCCCGCCTTGGGCTCGGAGAGCTTTTCCGGAGCCCAGGAGCCCACACGATGCACCGAGCCCCTCTCACACCTGCCTCACGTGCTGGCTTCGGAAGGCCCAGACTTCAGTGCCCTGCTCCTGGCTGACCTGCCAGTCATCCAGAGCACTTTAGCATATGCATTTCAAAAGCGAGGGCCGCGCCACCTCCAAGGCCCTGTGGGAACATCTCCCAAGTCAGATGGGTGCCGGCCTCCCAGCCATGCCCAGGTCGTCTGGTCTCTGACTCACCGCCCGGCCCTGTGTGGGTGTGGTTGGGATGCCCTGGGTGTGGGTGTGGGTTGGACACCCTGTGCTCTCTGCCAGCCTCTTCCGCTCCCCACCCACACCCTCTGGGAGTCACGGGCCCAGGACAGCTGGATGGGTGCAGGGCTGGCGCCAGGCACGTGTAAATGGTTTTGTTTTGCACGTTTGGTTTGCGCAGTGGTTTGGTTTGACTTGTTTGTGCATCCTGTGACGATAATGGTGCTTTGTGTACTAGCATAGAATAGCAACAGGCATAGATGTGGTCCTTAGGAGACGCTGCAGTTGGCACCAACCAGACAGCCCCAGGCAGAGACAGCGGGGAGCTGGCCTCTTGACCTCTTCTCCCGCTGAGACCACCGGGCTGCCAGAGGCCCTGGCCCACACGTCTCCCCTGCCCTCCCCACTGGTCCAGTTTCCTCCATTCCAAGAGGGTGCCCGGGACACCAGCCCTTTCATCCTCTGCCCCGTCCCTGCCAGCACTACCCTCCCTTCCCCCTCCCCCTACATGGCTTCCTGTAACTTTGCCCACTGGACATAGGCCCGGCGCACTCCTCCTGTGTGATGGGCAAGAGACCTCAAGCCTGCTGGGGTCGGGAGGGCTGACCAGATGCAGGGTGGGAGACGCCCAGCCCAGGCTGCAGAACTCGCATGGTTGCATGGGTGCTGTGGTCCCCTGTGGCCAGCACCACAGCCTCCCTGGTGCAGTGGACTCTTCTCCTCCCATGTCTGGGTAGGGCCTCCCTGCCTCCTGAGCTCCTCACGGTTCCCATAGAAGCACGGAAGGCCAGGTGATCTGAGAGGTGACCCGGCCACCTGCCCTTGTTAAGCCATGTCTGCCCCTTGGGAGGCGATTTCATGTTGCACATTTGGTTTGAGCACCCGGGCTTGCACGAGGCTCTGGATTCCTGGTCAGCAGCCACACCCTGCTCGTTTCTATAGAGCACTCTGCATTTCCAAACCACTTCCCTGCACAACCTCTCGCTTGGTCCTCACAAGAGTGGAGCACGAATTATTCTGCCCACTTTACAGATGAGAAAATTGAGGCCCAGTTTAGGCCCTGTGGCCCCAGAAGTGTTTGCCACCACCCCTACCACCCTGGCTGTGAAGAGGAGGCACGGGGTGACCCACCTGAGAGTTTAACCAGCTGGAAGGCTCATTTCCCTGGCAGGATTCTGCTTCATTTCACACAACCAGGGAGATTTTTCTTACCTTTGTTGCAAATGAATGAATGCAAGTTCTGTCTGAGCCTCATGCTGGGGGCTTGCCACGTGGCTTGAGCTGTGACCACACCCTCACCTCTCCCCTCATTCCCACATTCCCTGCTCAGGGGCTGAGGGGTCGGAGGTGGGTGGTGACCCAGGAAGCAGAGGCAGCCACAGGGACAGGAGACAGGGACCAGGTGTGGGAAAGCCACCGTGGACAGGGAAGCCATGACCCTGATGCCTGGTGCAAGGTCCCTTTCAGCCTCTGCTGGGTCATGGGCCTTGGGCAGATGCCAAAGAGCTAAGTAGTGGGGATGGCCAGCTGGGCAGGTCATCCCTGCTCGGGCCAGGAAAGCTTTACCTTCTTTGAGTGCCTCCACCTGAGAGACGTGCTGGGAGGCCACACCTTGCAGGGGTCCACTTAGGCCTTCCGCTCTGCCCACCCCCGTCCTCACCTTGGCCCAACCCCTGCCCAGGAGCTTCTGGGTGGAAATCAGGAGGAGGCTCACGGAGCCCAGTGAGCGGCCCGCCCCATGCCCAGTCCTTGCACCCTGCCGCGCTCCAGCCAGCCCCCGCCCGTGGGCTCCGGGCTGGCACGAGAAGGGCCTCTGGTTGCACTGAATGCAGCTCTCCAACTGGTCTTGTACTTGCTGAATAAATACTGTTGTTCTTGCCTTAGCTGCTCTCTAGGTTTGTGGGGTTAAGTTGCCAGAAACTTGTGCTACTGTGTGTGTGCGTGCGTGTGTAGTGCTAGAAGTCCACAGCAGGTCTCTGCCACGCCAGTGTCGCGATAAGGGCTTCTCCAATGCGGACCAGGAGCCACAGAACCCACGGAAGCCCAAGCCCCTTCAGCTGCTGAGACGGCAGGCGCAGCCAGGTCGGGCGGACCTCGGCACCGAGCGACTTCCCTCCTCTGTAACGTCATGGTGCTACGATGTGTCAACCCTAGACGACACATGGCCCTGTGCTTTGGCCACCACTTGAGGCAAAAACTAAACAGCCGAGTTGTGTTCTGGTGCAGGTTTGTATTAAACTGTAGCGACTTCTCACTGGTCTCTGTCTGTTTCTTCCAAGGAGAGGGACTTGGCAGGACTCTCTCCCATGGTGTCTGCGCAAGGCTTCAGGGTCCGTGTGTCTCTCCTTTTGGGTGGCGGCTCTCTGAGCGGAGTCCGGAGGCTTGCGGGCGTGCTGAGGGCCAGGAGCCCTGGTGGCTGCCATCAGTCCTCTTCCCTGGGAGAGTCCTTGTGCTTTTGTTCCTGGAATTTCTGAGAGGAACAAAATCCAGGCTTATGGCGCCGGGTTTCCAGGGACCAGGCGGCTCAGTTCCCTAAAACAGGAGCAATCAGGAGGAAAAATCATGAAAGGGAGAAAACTGGACTCCCCTCCCCTCTCCTTGGTCACCTTTTCTCTTGGCTGCCATTTTGGAAGCCCACAGCCCACTCCCCTCTACAGAATGCTTGACCTCATGGAAACCACATGACGAAGGGCCGACTCAAGGCCAGCGTGTCTTTGAAGGGCCTTCCAGGCGCTCTCTGGCTGTCCCGCATCCCGCCCTTGGGGTTGGGCCCAAAGCTAGGGGTGTTGAGACTTCCTTCTCCAGGTCTTAGCCTGATAAAGCCAGTTCACGCTGAGGAGTGAAACTGTCGCTTCTAGTGCTGTGGGGTCACTTGCTTGGTTTTTTAGAGGCAAGGGCTCACTCTGTGGCCCAGGCTGGAGTCCAGCGGCGTGATCATAGCTCACCGTGGCTTTGAATTCCCGGGTTCAAACAATCCTCTCGCCGCAGCCTCCTGAGTAGCTGGGACTACAGATGCACACCACCGCTAACTTTTTTGGGGTTTTTTTGTAGAGACAGGTGCTCGCCATGTTATCCAGCCTGGTCTCAAAGTCCTGCCCTCGAGGGATCCTCCCACCCTGACCTCCCAAAGTGCTGGGATCATAGGCATGAGTCACTGCACCTGGCTACCTGTCTTTACCTTAAAATTCAAAACCTTAATGAGGGAGTTTTAGGTGGTGTGGAGAAAATCGTTGGTGGCAGAGGGACTTCCCCAGCTGTCACCAAACAAGCAACCCTTCTACAATAAGACAGGCCATGGCTGAAATCCCTGCAGCAGGGCAAGGCTCTTGGCTGTAGTGAAAAGAGCTGTGTACAAGCCCTGGAGGCTCCAGGCCGGAAGACAGCACCATTGCCCAGCTTGAGATGGATGTCAGGTCTCTGGGATGTGGATGTCAGGTCTCTGGGATATATTGGGCCGTGTTGTCTTGTCTTCCCACAACATGGGAGCACACCAGAATTTGGCTAACTGCCAAAAATCCTTCGTAAGTGCTTGGATAAAAAAGTCATGTGGCCACATCATGGGCACGCGACGCACATGGTATTAGGCAGCCTACAGAGGAAAAAATAAGAGGTACACAGGATGTCTTCGTGTGCAGGCAGTTATAGAAAAATAAAAGGCCACAGACTCAGACTGTAAAACAAGCCTTCATCGTCTACAAGAATCTGTATCTGGGGAAACCCGCGCCAGCCAGCAGCAAAGCCACCATCAGCCTCGACTTCTCAACTCAGAGTTTCCATAGTCCTCTCCACACAGATTCGAGCTAACGCCAACTGCCATGTAGTCAGCGGCGGACTCCTCGTGACACGCGGGCAGGAGCCCTGAGAGTCCTAAGCTCACAGCGGGCTGGGTGGTGATGTTGCATCCACATGCACTTGAAAGGGCTCCTTGCACAGCCCGGGCAGAACATGAATGGATCTGGCCCTCTGTCAAGACTAGCACCGTCTCATGATGGAAACTGAGTTCTTCTTCCCCTTGTGGATTTGCAAACACACCTTTGTACTGGAGGGACTAGACACCCAGGTTTGCCCCGGACAATCCAGTGTGAGTCCACTGCCCAGAATAGTGATTAACAGCGCCACTTCTGACTTTCACACATGCCCCAGTGGGCACAACAGAGAACACGGCCCCCTTGCCCACATGCTCATTAGGCCACTGCTATGTCAGTCCAGAAGTTCGTTTCATTTTCCCGCCACTGAAAGACAAAAGACGAAGTGGGGCAGGGAAAGTGGGTCCTTCCACCATGGGTGGGGCCTCGGGGTTTCCAGGACAAGCCCCTGCCAGGTCCCCGCCCCGCCCTCAAGCTGAGGCTTGCTGAAGGCTGGGGATGATTCTCTAACCTTTCAGTCTGCCTAAGAGACTACATTATTGCATTTAAAATTGTAAGTCTACCAAATTCTATCATTTGCTTTAAAAGGGCCTTTGATTCCATTTCTGAACTTAAACACCTTACATTTTAAGTTGCCCTTAAAATTCTACTTCCTTTTAAGTATTTTTCCTAAGTACTAAATAATTATTACAATCTAACAAATTAAATGTACACATATAGTGAGTAAACTTAAAGTTTTCTTAGATGTTTCGATACTAAGAATAAACTTAGTGATATTTCAACTTAAAATCATGTTTTAAATTAGTTATGAGGTACTCATGCTTAACAGGCTAAATGT